AGAGCAATGTCCACCTCTTCTTGAGTCATTTTCGTAGACCCATACTTTGCAATCATATCATGGATTAGATTGCAATGTTGCAGTGCCCATCCCATCCCATGGAACTTTTCATTTGCTTTGAAAATCAGTCGGTAGGAGACTAGAATGGGTTGCTTGCCTACCGATCTCTCAAACTTGTACACAAGATATTCGATCTTTGGAGTAAGCTCTACCTCAAATTTGAAACTCATCTCCTCGGTCACACTCAAATCCGGAGTTACAATGTGGATAGGATTTTGTTCGTCAAGTTCCTCTACAATCATCTTCATTTCACTCTCATCACACGCAAAAATATCTACAGAACTGGGATGAATAATTCCCTCAAGGTGCTCAACCTCATCGTTCATACGAAAATCTGTAAATACCTCATTGTGTTCATATAGCATGGTCGGATGTGGTTTATGAATGTGACATCTCTGAATTTTTTTGAAAAGATTTGCCAGATAGCGGAGTTCTTCTTGTAAATAGCACAAGTGCTCATTTGTCTGTGTAATTCTATTTTCTGGGTTCAACATTCGATGTCATTCAATATCCTCCAACTCTTGTGGTATATAATCTGCTCTGGATTGAAGCTCGCAAAGAGAGAGATCATATATCGAGACCATCAATGTATACAAATCTGCTAAAAAAATCAAAAAAATCAAAAAAAAAAGAAAAAGAAAAGAAAAATGTCTAAAGCAAAGTAAGGATAGTTGGTAACGATAGAGCCAAAACTTGATACGCGTAAAACCTACGTATGAAAAACCGCAAGGTACAGTATCGCGTTTTGTAGAATAGTGAATTCCAGATATCGATCCACAGGGAATTAAGTTCCTAAATTTACCAAGTACCGTAATTATACTATCCTAAACATCATCTAGAAGATCAAGAATTGATGGTAAAAATAAAACTACAAAGAAACAATAAATAAAAACAATGGTCCACCAGTATAAGCTAGAAATTCCGACGTGTGATGACTTATAGGGTAAAATCCACCAATGTACTATCGATAAAGATCTACAAATCCGAATCTAATGTCAATTCCATATTTGCTAACCCAGACACTAAAATACTCTTACCCCCGTCTCCAGTGTAGTTAGATTCTACCCACAGGTCCGACGTCTCCGTTCAGAACCTGATATTAAGAGAGCACATTTAGGTCAAGTCCTTAAGGGCTACCCGAGGTACATCACGTCTCCGTTTCCACAACCCGAGCTATGTTTTCCTAAAATCAAACGAGAAATCCTCTCTCGAGTTCATTCCGATTTACAATCCATTCAACTGTTGGCCAAACAATTGAAAGCATTTAATATAGGAAAATATAAACAAAATCAAACAACGACAAATAGATCACAGATCTGGAAATCAAAATTAATATATACAAGGTTTCATTTCCCTAAAAGAAAATCCTCAGTTCATTACAAACATAACATCAAAATCAAGAACACGAGAAATCATAAACTAAATGGAAAGAAAAGATTATGAAAAACCCGAGTCGAAACCCTCGTCGAAGCTTCCCGCGTAGAACTGGCGAAAACCGAAGAAAAACCTAAGAAAAGTCGAAGAAGAGGTCTTGATCTTAAAAAATGAAGAAGAGACCTTCTATTCATAGTAAGAAATCAAAGAAAAATATTTGGTCTCGAATTTTGTGCCTAGATCGTGATATGGGCTTAATGGATCGCGATCTGGCAGCCTTGGAAACTGTGCACCGCCTTGCCAGATCGCGATATGGGAATGGTGGATCGCGATCTGGTTCTTGACCAAAAAACCTTATGTAAGAACTCCCAGATCGCAATACAGGAAAGTGGATCGCGATCTGGGTCCTAATCAAAAAACCTTCTGTAAGACACCCCAGATCGTGATATAGGAAAGTGGATCGCGATCTGGCTGCTGCGTCAACTTCAAACCCTATTTTGACCCTTTTGTAGCCCGAATTCGACAATTGTACATTTCAAAAACATTGTAGATCTTGAAGTTAGATTTCTAATGAAGCTTGAATCAGCTCAATCGGAGGTTGTATGCAAAATTTATGTGTGAAATACCAAACGCTGCTACAATCCGCGAGAATGCACTTTTGCACGTGTTTGGTTTGATTTTCGGCTTCGCTTCCAAAATCGTTTCGGATCGGCAAAAATAGCTTCTCTTTACCTAAAATATAAATAAAACAAAAATAACATAATATATACAAATAAAGGCGAAAACTCGGACGAACAAAGACCAAAACTCGACGAATTGATAAGTGAAAATCATGCAAAATGAACACTTATCAATAATAAGGTAGTACTGTGCAGGCTGAATTTTGGCATGTTTTGCACTTTACCACCTTAATAAAAAAATATTGCATGATTGTATCTGAACTCATTTTCTTGTATCATGTTGCCATATATGGCTGATTTCGGGCTAAATTTGTTGGAATCTGATGTACGCCCATTGCACATGCCTAATAGAAGAGCTTTTGTCTTTTGATCTAAACTCAATTGATTAAAATTAAATTAATAAATGCAGCACACACCAATTATAACAATTCTTTTTATCTTGAAGTCACCTCTCACCTTATTTAATCAAACTATATGCACTAGCAATAAACAAATTTGTTTTTTTCTTTTCTTTTCTTTTTTGACAAAAGAGATTTTACTAACCCAAAACGGCAAGAGAGGATGGGAGGACAGGACCCTCGCCACCACTATGATATAGAGTCGAAACAACGGCATGTGCAAGCGCATTGCCCAAACGTTTAACGAAACAAATATTAGAAACTTGAAAAGAGCGAACTAAACCAAGATATTCCTTAATAATTGCCCCTATGAGGAAAGTGAACATATCTTTATCTTATAATGCACTCATAACCCCAATGCTGTCCCCCTTCGGAGCTAACTGCATTCCATCATTTGTCCGCTGGCATCCGCACAGCTTGAAGACCATCAACGACTTCTTCAACCGCAATTGCAGGTCGACCCCCTACCGAAGAACCATCCATCCCAAGCATGTGCCACTAGTATCACGAGCTACCATTGAGATACCATAGAATCATTACATTGCTGGAAAACTAGTGTCGATATTACTCTTAATAACTCCGGCTGATGGCCGACTTCAAATGATTGGATGAGGTTGATGCTTGTCTTTGGGATAATATTTCCAAGCCTGAGTGAAAGCTCCTAGGTAGGAGGTGCTCCAATTAGTGATGTCATGAGCTGCATCGCCTTCTCACCATGCAAAATACAATTTCCGTTGTCCCAAATTTTACACTTGCCACCATCACCTGAATGAACCTGTCCGGGCTCAAGTTAGATTGTAGAGACTCAAACCACGACCAAACCGAACCAAATTCCTCTCCCGTTGGACAACTGAATGGTGCATTCAACCAAATATCCTTAACAAGGCTGCATTCCTTTAGTGCATGAATAGTGGTTTGATCTTCTGCTTGCAACTGAAGCAATAACTATTTATAGCGGATATGGTGCTTCATATTTTACTGTAAATTAATTTATAGGAGAAAATAAAAAACAAATTTTCTTTATCAATGGATCCCAATAAGAACTCAAAACAACTAATGGAGATGTCAAGTCTTTTAGCCCTCCCTCGATCGCCAAATCCACCAAACAATAAATGAAGAACATGCGAAACAACAAGGCAACAACGAATATCAAATATTTCAAGATAGTGGTTGCAGAAAAAGAAGAATCTAAGAAACAATCTTTAATTAGCATCGAAAAAAACTTCAAACAAAGACATGCACACAAAATTCTTCTTCCTCTTATTCATGTTATTCTTCCTCTTGCTCTCTTTCTTCTCCTCCTTCCTCCATCTTCTTCTCCTCCTCCTCCTCTTCCAACACCGTCTTGTTGCACGAAGGTTGGGCGACAATGGTATGGCGATGGCGATCAAGAGGTTCTGGCGCGCAATGGGTTTCATCGGTGGCGGTTGTGGGCAGCGATCCTTCGACGGCAAATGGGTGGCAGCATTTCTTTTTTCATCCCTATCTCTTTCCTTTTGCACTCACATTATTTCTGCTCATATTTTTTTCTCTTGATTTTGTGGTATTGCAATAAGAAAATTAGGGAAAATATGCTGGAATGAGAATATTTTTTGAAAAATGATATATTAGTAATTTCTAGTCTTTCTCTTAGTAAGTTTGTGTATTTTTTTGTGTTCCACCTAGTAAGATCTTCCCCTTAAAAAAATTGAGATTTCGAATAACGACGGCCATAAATAAATATTAGCCTTTTGAGTTGAATTTCTAAACCAACTCGAATAGTCTTGATTGAAGTTGAGCGTAAAAGATATGATGAAAATAAGTTGTAGGCTATTTAGTTTACATAATGCAAACCTAATTAAAATTTTATTATGGGCTATAAAAGCCAACAACGTTTTCCCTTTGCTATTTCTCATTCACAAGAAGCCTCGGACAATGTTTGGTTATGTTTTACTTTAACTTTTATTCTTTCTCGCAAACAAATTCCTATCTGTTTAGATTTTCCAAAAAAAAAAAAATAATAATACACTAAAAAATTTTGACTGCTACATTAGAAAAACGTTTCACTAAAAAACAAACAAACATCAATTTATTTTTCAAATTGTTTTTTCAAAATACATTTTTTTTCAAACAAGTATAAACATGATTTGACTGCTACGGTATAGTTTATTTAATCTCAAATTATAAACACACATTACTTTCATTCTCAAATTCTCTCAAAACATATTTCCCCAATATAAAATGAAAATAACTTCCAAAACCATTCCAAACATTTTTTTTTTCTTTTCTTTTCGTTTTTTTTTAAATTTTTACTTTTGCCCGTTTCTTCATCCCATTCACAAAACAATTCAAAACTTTTTGCAAATTTAAGAACTTATGTGATTTACAAAATTCCATAATTTTCGAAACCTTTTGAAATCGGAATGAATTTCTAATTTAAAAAAAAAAGAAAAGAAAAAATTGGAATTAAAAGTAGTTTTATTCTTATGGAAAAAATAAATAAATTAAATTTGTTTTCTAGAAAAGGCTATTTACGATTGGACATAGAGCGTGACATTCACGTGCTGCACATCCCCCATTAAAAGCTCCCTCGCTCCATGCTTTCATTTGAAATCAACAGCTCTGAAATTTTGAAGTAGATGGAAACGGAACAAGAACAATTGACAGAAGAACAACGCAAACGAGCCGAATCAAACCGGGCCGCGGCCCTAGCCAAGCGGAAGGCAATCCTCTCCGCCGCCGATCAAAAGAACGATTGCTGGGAACTTTTCAAATGCCGCAAGATTTCTTCGACCGCCACCGCCAATTTCCCCGTACCCAAACAGCCAATTACCGCCGAATCAACTGGAACAGCCCCAAAACCGGAGAAATTCCGGGCCCGAATCGAAATATGCTCGCCCGATTCGTTTTCCATCACCCCTGTTGCTGTTGAGGGTTTTGTGTTCCCTGGGGTGGATGTTTGCTTTCAAATGCTTAGCGATTGCCTCTCCAATGTAAGTAATTTTTGTTTGTTTTGTTTGTTTGCTTTTCGGGACATTCCTAAAATAGGATATGAAAATGTAGATTGAGTGAAATTGGGGTTTCTTAAAGAACAACTTCAAATTTGAGGGAAATTTAGTACACACTAGTAAAGTAGTACATAAACAAAAAAAAAAAAAAAAAAGAGAAGGTATGCAAAAACGAATGATGATAAAATACTGAAGGGATTTTTATTTTATTTTCTTTAGTCTTGTTCCTGGGATAATGCAGTCCAAGAATTGTAAATCATTTTATTTCCCTTTCGAAAATAGAAACGTATGGTTTATGGTTGTGATACTTTACCCTAGTTCTTTATGGATCATTAAAGCTTTTCTTTGTGTTAAAGTATTTCTTGGGACAACTTTGTTTTCCATTTGAACGTAAAAACAGACAAATTCTATCGCAAGTTCAATATATCCGACCCTTGTTGTGTTTATGTTACTATTATCGTATGTGTAAAACTACATTCTATCGCAAGTTCAATATATCCGACCCTTGTTGTGTTTATGTTATTATTATCGTATGTGTAAAACTACATTCCATTTTTATTTAGTTGGTTGATCAGTATGCACTCCATTTTTTCTCTTTTGTTAGGTTGAGTTATTACACTACACCCAGATCACTGGGGGCGGTAATGCCGGTGTCTACAAGCTTGGCGAATATCAATCAGTCCTAAAGTCCATAAAGAATTGTAAGGGCATTGAATGTGACGAAATACCTTGGGGAACCTTTAATGTTGTGCAGAGATTTTCACCTTCCTTCATTGCTGGAAAATGGATACCTTGCAGGCCTGAACATGTAACTGATGAGAAAGTAAATGAGTTGATGGCCGAGCTGCCCAAAACTTTGCTAGATGCTTTGTTACCTTTTCAACTTGATGGTGTTCGTTTTGGGCTGAGGAGGGGTGGTCGGTGTCTCATAGCAGATGAAATGGGACTTGGGAAAACCATACAGGTACGGATGGAATTTTGAATTTCGTAGAATTTAAATATCATTTTTAAGGGTCGTATGCTATGGACAGTGATCCTTCTTCGTTTCTTCTCTCCGTGACTATTTGTACTCGTACATGTTTTACAAATGAGAAACGTTTACATCTGTCAAAATCAATATGAAAAGCTATGTTGCATTATCTTGGATGGAAGCTTCTTTCAATGGCTAAAGAGTTGCATCACAAAATCGGTGACATTATGATTTCAATATAGGCTATTGCATGCAAGCTGGTTTCATTGAATGGGATTGTATTGAAGTTGCTACCGCCATAGTTGTCAAAACTGAAAGTGTGAGAGAAGCAGAAAAAGAAAGTGCACTGCTAAAAAGTATGATAAAAAAATTAGAGCTGTTAAAAAGTATCTTAAACAAAAGGCACCAAGATTTGCAGTTGCAGGACTTCTTTGGGTGTAAAAACTACATAAACTCCATTGATGTTCTCAAGAAAATCCATAAGACATAGTTGCAATTTTTTCTTATTTGGTTCTATTTGATTACCCTCACTGAAATTTATGTTGGGTGCATCTCCTAATTTTGCTAGAAAAAAATGTAAGGTGTATTGTAGTTACAATAGATGCTCTATTTCGTAAAAAATGACTTATAAATAGCTTTTAGAGCTCATGCTTTCTTTAGAAGGAAAGAATTGAAATATACATAGTGTTGAAAAAGTAGGTTAAAATGTTGAGTTCTATTTGTTAGGTGTAGAAAGCCACGACAACATCTGACTTCGTGTTACATTATGAACTTATTGCTACAAAATCTTTCTTGATCAAAGGATTTCTTAACTAATCACACTCCTCGGATTTTAATAGGCTATTGCACTGGCTGGCTGTTTCATGAAGGAAGGTTCTATACTTGTTGTTTGCCCAGCTATTTTGCGATATTCATGGGCAGAAGAACTGGAGCGCTGGTTTCCTTTCTGTTTGCCCTCTGATATACACCTAGGTATCTTTTCCAGAGTCAGTTGCTACTATTATTTTCCCTTTTATCTATTATTTCATCTTTGGTTAAACATATACTTGAAAGATCTTTTTGTCTTAACCAGCAAATTTTCATGATGATTGATGACTTATGGTGTTTAACTAATATAGTTTTTAACTTCAATTTTGAGTCATGTTGCCTCATTTCTTTTTTACTTGAGCCATCATGATTAATTCTTTCAAGAATGATGTGCATGGTTCTTTCACCCTCTTTCCCTTTGCAATCAAGAAAATCAAAAAAGGGAACTTGAACAATGGAGCCACTTTGACAGGCTTCATAACATTTTTTTTGTGAATATAACGAAAAGTGCTATTTACATGTGATATGGTTAATTTCTCAAGTGTGGTTTGCACACGACTTCAGATGAACTTATTATGTAAATGAACGCACGTGCATTGCTGAAGAGTTTTTGTACCTTGACCACGTGGTCTAGGCTAGCTTATATTGATTAGTAGTCTTTAAATATACGTGAGTTGCTCTATATTTCCTTCTGATGCATACCGTAATGTTTGTTTAAAGTTACTGCTGCTTCTGCTTTTCCCTTTCAGTTTTTGGTCATCAAGATAATCCTACACGGTTAGCTAAACGTCCAAGAATTGTGGTGATATCGTACACTATGCTTCGTCGTTTGCAGAGTAGCATTCTGGAACAAGAATGGGTCACTTTGATAGTTGATGAATCACATCATCTACACTGCACCAAAAAAACTTCAGAAAAAGATGAGGTACAAAACATTTCTATGTTTTTTTTAACTAATCACAGAGTGACATATTGAACTTGGATTGGTTTGTTTTTATTCTATTGAAATTGAGTACTAAGTTTAAGTTCTCAAAAAAGCAATTTAAAAACTAAGGTTTTCTTTCACAAAGTTCATCACTTAAAACTGGGTAGCTACCCTGGTGGAATTTGGTAAATTGATCAGGGTAGTGTTGGAATGATTCAAAATTGCAACTGAATGTATTTAATTACTCAACCTAAGAAAAGGGCATGCATGGGTTCATGCATAGACATACTCATGTAAGTCTGTTAAATATGATATGATGGTATTGGACATGATTGATAATTTGAGGAGGAAATAATATGGTTAAGACATGGTGGAACTACAAAGCTGAAATTGAGAGAGGAAGAAAATTTAATACCATCTTTGGTCGGGTAGAAAGTGGAAAAGAACATAGAAAAGAGTATAATAAAGACATTTGTAAACTCTTTCATTAAATACTTGCTTTACCTCTAGCTTGTTTTTTCATCAACACTTTCTCCTTATTTCAGATGTAATATCGACGAGAGGTAAAAAATTAACCATTTCAAATTTAGGCTGGAAAGTACTTTTTTCTCTCTTTAACTTCCTCAACATGGACTGGGTATCGATCCAACTGATTGTTGATGCCCTCAAATATTGACTTTACTGGCTTATTTAATCATGCAACCCTTTGTTTATTTATTTTTTGTTGTGCTTTTTGTCTTTCTTCATGCCAATAATATTTCAGATTTAGATTCCCGCTTCAAGATTTTTTATATTAGTCTGATCAACTAAACCTGATTGCATTAGCTAATCAACACTTACAAGCTTTTCATTTTTTACAGCTAAAAGCTGTACTTGACTTGTCTACGAAGGTGAAGCATCTTATTCTACTATCAGGAACTCCCTCTTTGTCAAGGTTGTTGAATCAACTTACTTTTTAATTTATATAAGCTGTACAGTAATCTCTTTTCTCATTTTTACAGCAACTTTGAATTTTTTATTTTAACTTTCTCCTAGAATTCTGTCAAATTTGTGTCAGCCATACTAACATCAAAATGTATGCTAATATTGGGTTAAATGTTCTCCTAGGTGATAATAGGCCTTATGACATTTTTCATCAGGTAAATATTTTATGGTAAGTGGTTCAGAATTTTTGTAGCGCTGATCTGTCAATACCTTCCCAGTTTTATTGGAAATGCTAAGGTCTTAATGACACAGGCCTGGTTTGCTTGGGCAGACCAAATACGAGTTTGCAAAAACGTACTGCTGCATCAAACTTATCCGGGGTTGTCAAGGGAAAATTTTCCAGGTAATTGTTGACACTTGAAGCACTATTCGTTTTTTCTTTAAAAGGTAGAAGAACCATAAGTTTTTTATCTGGTTTCTATCTTGATCGTTAACTGTCTTAAAAAGTAGGCCCAGTTAATGTGGATTTACTGATATTCTTTTCCATCTAACTTTTGTCTGTTCCCTAATTTATTCATTTGCTGATTTGTGGCTATGCTCCTTTCTGAAATTTTCCACTTCGTACATTTACATGAAGTGCTACTCTTCAAATGTGTTGTTATGACTCCTTTGTAGGATTTCTCGAGAGGAACACGCTTGGAGGAATTAAACGTTTTACTGAAGCAAACTGTTATGGTAAGATTTGAGTATTTGTTTTCTTCTTTTTCGAGTGTTAAAAAACTTATGCACTTTTTTGTTATGTTATTGAATCTGGCTTCACTGGAGTACCACTACAGATCTCCTACCGATGATTGTTATCGAAATAATTGTTTTGAAAGTTTGACACTTGGAACCCGCAACATAGCTATAGGATCGCGCTAGTTAGTTACTTTCTGATGCTCTATTTCTTGTCTATTTGATTGACAAACTAAAGAAAAAATCATAGTAATATTCTTAGATCTCACAATGTGCCATTGAAATAGATTTGTGATTTGATGGCAATCTGTTCAAATATGTATACTTTCTTCTCTTAATGTTCAATTTTCCTCCGCTGGCTTTTCTAAATTGATTCTCTTTGCTGATATTGAATTGTTTGTGATACCACAGATAAGACGCCTGAAGGAGCATGTGTTGCTGCAGCTACCACCCAAACGTCGGCAAATAATAAAATTAGTTTTGAAGAGATCAGATATTAATTATGCTATGGCGACTCTCGGTCTTGAGAATCTTGATGCTTCTGTAGACAGCGATGCTGAAAATGAACCTCTTAATGTTTCGGATGAAGATCAAGGTATGCTTTGATATGTATTAAACGCATACTCCGCGGTTACCAACGCTGGCTGTTAACGTGTATTAGATGCCCGTCATCTATAACCCAATATATTTTACATTAGCTGAATACACAGCCCAATTTATTGCCATCTCATCCCTCATGATCAGCAATTAAACTAGAATTCTTTTTCCATCTGTTTTTTTTAGCTTCAACAAGCATGGCGTTTAATTTTGCATCTTTACAATCAATCCAAATACACTGCTAAAATTTGACCTCAATTAACCGTGCTATAGCAGTACCGGTAGTTCTTATTCCACCCAATACTTAATGATAATCAGATAATATTGATTTTTTGGTTTTTTAATATTATGCTAAGATCTTCTCTATCTTATACAATAGAAACATCCAACATGATCTTGGTTCATTCTAGCCAAGTCTTGGTAGCTGATAGAGGGTCTGTCAGTTTCAGTTCTTAAGTTGTTGTGTAACTAACTAATTATAGTTTGGTTCTCTGAATACTGGAAAAAGGGTAATTTAAATGTCAAGGTCCTTTCATTGTGGCCCATTTTTTTTTCTTTTTTTCTTTTCTTTTTTTCCTTTTATTAATATTCAAGTCGAACCTTGGGAGATTGATTTGTATTAAACTGGATTTGCTGATTTCGTAAATACAGTTTCCGTATTGTTTTTCATTTTCTGTTCCGGTGATTTAAAACAAGCAAAAGATAACGAGTCATCCTTTCTTGCCCACTGAGATATTATTGTGCTTTCCTTAAATAATGCTGCATTTGGAGAAGTCCATGTAGTTTGCTACGACGTGTTGTAAAAAAAATTCATCTGCTTCACTGATACTTAAGGCTTCTTCTTTGGAGCTTTTTGATTTGAAAACTAATCTCTTGGATATGTTCTGATTTCATGTTAGTCCGACAAATTATTTATATGTGACTTTAGCTACTATCTTAGCCCCATTGTCCTAGTCCTGATTGATCTTGATCTCTTACAAATGACAAAAACGAGGATCCGGGTAAATTTGGAAAGATTGAAGTTGGAGATATAAATATTAAATGATTAACGTCACTAACAGCTTAAGCTTTTAAATTAGGTGGTCATTCATTCAACAACTGAAAAAGGACTAAGTTTATCAAGCTTTACCATTATCTGGTTTTGCCGTAGTTCTTTGGATTTTTGATGGTTAATACGCATAAGGACATTCTCTTAGTATATAATACTAGATAGAATGAAGTTGGACACATGTTTGGAGCATTTGATTTGTTAATACATGTGGAGAAAGAAAGCATTCAACTTATAGAGGTTGCATTGTAGCATACGGTAGACTGAAATTGTTGGTTCTTTTTTCAATGTAGATAAAGAAGACATGAATAAGAAATTGTCAGAAAAGCTCTCAGCTCTTGGTTTAGCTAAACTACCCGGATTCTTTGAGTGGCTATCTATACATCCTATTATGGTGGAGGCAGATGAAGATGAAGATGGAACCACAAAAAAGAGTTCTAGTTCCCACAAAATGATCATATTTGCTTATCATCATAAGGTGCTTGATGGGGTGCAGGTAATAATTACCTTCGTTTTTATTTTGACATGTGCCTCATGCCTTTCTCCCTTAATATGTTATCTGATGCTTGCTTGTAGAGTTAAAGAATGGTTTCATTATCAAATTCTAATTTTTTATATTGGTAACATTTTGGCCATGTAGAGATACATAACAAAAGATGGTATCACACTCTTTATTTACCCCCTTGTCTGTGCCTTTTGGTATTTTTGATTTGCTTGATGTGTAGTTGTCATTCAACTGGCAGATGAAATTTTTGTACTGCTTTCACCCTTTTTCGGCTTATATTTTCTTTTGTCCTTGCCACCTCTCAAATTCTCAGAATACCATTGTTGATATATAAAGGGTATCAAGTATTTCTGATCATATCATAAACAAGCAATGTGAATGACATTTACATAAGTAACTGGATCTTATGGTTCCATGCAACACTTTTGTTAATTTGGAAAACTGTCAACACATCCCCACAATTTCATTAGCAACTTACTTTCTTGCTTGAGCTAATGAGGGAGTGCTGGCGATTTGTAGACGGGATATTGTTCACATATGTCAGTAGTTGATACTTTCGCTAAGAAGCTTGGGACATCACATTACCCATATACGATATTAGTGTGAATCGGAGGTTTATTTAGCAAACCTGTTTGCTAAGATTTAAATATTGACCTGATAAGGAAAATAGCTCTGTGGTTCTCTATTCCATTTGGTGGTTCAGTAATATGAATATACAGTTGTCCTAGTTTGATGTGAAATTTCATCTGTCACCTGTTATTATCAGAGATGCTATATACTGATATGAATCATATGATGCATTGCTGCACTCAATGTGAAAAAAAATATCATCAATTTAGCAGACAACCCTCAACATGATTGGCTGGTGATAGATCTCCATGTGATTATATATTTTATCTCTGCTAGTACTCGCCATCATCTTATGATATTGCACATGAGTTTATGTGTACTCACTAATCACTATCATATTTTTGCCATTACACAGGCATATCTATGTGAGAAAGGAATTCAGTTTGTTCGCATTGATTGCACCATAAATGGTAACGATAGGCAGTCAGCTATCCAGTCCTTCCAATCATCAAACGAGGTTTGCTTATGTTCTTTTCTTTGTCATTCCTGACTATTTATCTACTCTAGTCCTATTATGGTCTTTATTTCGTTCTCCTAATAATAAAATGGAACAGGTTACGATGTTTTGTTTCTAGTGTTTTGACTGCTTCTCAATTCTAATGCCATTTATCTACTTACTGAAGCCTCCCATAATGTTATTTTTTTATTCGGAACCAACAGAAGATAAGACCAAAAGTTCTCTTTTTCACATTCAATCTTCCACAACTAAGAAACTCGTCGAACTTTTTATCAGGTTAAAATTGCATTGATTGGTATTCGTGCCGGAAGCTCTGGGCTTAACCTAACATCAGCAGACAATGTTGTGTTCCTTGAGCTACCTACGAGACCTGGTGATATTCAGCAGGTGCCTATTATTTACTATTTTTTATCTTGTCTGAATTTGAAGCTCAACTATCATCAGACCTAGCCAACTACGAATAATAATTAAAGTTTCCTTTAATGCGGACTTTAATAATTAAAGTTAATTTTCAGTCATGTTACCATGCATTTTTGTCTTTACAAGTTTTTATGGATTTCATCGAGAGGTGTTTCTGGAGTTGGTTAACATTACTCAGAAGTTCTGCCTGTACCATACTAAAAAGTGGAATGTCAAATCTACTTGATCTTATCAATATATATTGTGTTGGTAGCCAAATTATTAACCAGAGCTTTTGTTTTTTAATGAAAAAATATGTGCATCTGCTTTAGATCAATCATCGGCTAATTCTGAACAGCAAGATTTCACCTTTTTTTTTTTTTTTTTCAGTAAATGAAGTTCACCACCTCCTGTACTTTATATAGTTGCAGCTTTTTTCTACCAAGTGATATATTCTCCACTTCTGTTTTTATGGTGGGGTCTATCACGATGGACCATGTTTTCAACATGTCCTGGACTGCTCATTACGAATTTTCTTTTGCAAGATCTAATTAGCGTGTTAACTAACTTTTGTGATATGTTTGCTGGTACATTTAGTGATGTGGCAAAAATGATTTATTGGTTGCATAATATAAGTTTGAGACAAAGATGGTGTTATTTGATTTGTGCGACTGGTAACTGAATATTTGGATTTGTCATTTTTCTAGGATTTGATTGCAGTTTGCTTGTTTTTAGATCTGACTTCAGGATTTAGATCTTGAGAAGGTTGGAATATCACATGCTCTGAATGTTTTGCCTTTTTTAGAATTCCATATGACTTATAGGGGAGTTATTATGACTATCTTCGTACCTTTAAAATCTCAGAGTGCATGATTCACATACTTTTAGGACTTATCGATATATATGTATGTTAACAATGTTTGTATACTACACGATGCTTATACTTTCTATAACATCTTCAGGCTGAAGATCGAGCTCACAGGCATGGGCAAAAGAGACCCGTGAACATATATATTTTCTGCGCAAAGGTACCTGTTTTAAGATACGATATATAAGTTGGTTATTTTCCTAATAATTTCTCCAGAATCTCCTTGTACAGCACTGACATCATTTCTCTTCTACCTTTCTTGGTAAATATCCAGGATACTTCAGATGAGTTACAGTGGCAGAGGCTTAACAAAAGTTTGCTTCGTGTTTCTTCTACTGTGAATGGGAAGTATGATGCGATAAAGGAAATAAAGGTATCGTTTTTAAAGTAATTATATTACTTCTAGGATGTAAATTTTTTAAATAATCGAGCTTATTGCTTTTAAACGGAATAAGACTGTTGACTTTTTATGCAAAATGCTAGTTTTAGCATTCGGCAACAAAAAATTCCTAACAAGATTATCGTAGCCAGAAATCTAATGCATAGCACCTGAATTCTGACATCCAACTATCTGTTCATCAAATGCTATGAGAAGCTCCTCATCTGATTGACACAATGATTTTGGGTGTACTATTATTTTCTCTCACTATGTTAACCACTGATTTTTTGCAATTGAATAGTTATCGCCTATTTTCATAGTTGCATTGCTTCCATTGTGTCATCATTCATTTGAAGAACAGTTCACCAAGCATACATCATGTAACACCAGCCGCATTGCTCACTTAGTCTTAGGCACTCTCATTCTTCTTCAAAAATCCTTTTATTTTCCTTTGTTGAAGTGTGATTAAACTTCTAAAATAGTCTTGAGTGTCGAGTGAGGAATCCACACATTTTAAAATCCTTGCTTTCTGTATTACAATGCTCTTTTGTCTTTAAAGATTTAAATTTAGGATTATGTTCTCTTTTTTTCTTTTCTGAGAACTTGTTCTATGTTTGTGTATTGCTGCTCAATGATTCTAGGTCGAGAGTGTTTCTTATCTTGACGGCACCAAGAATACAAGTGAGAAGAACAAGCCATTAGTGAAATCTCAAAACTCTTGTGTGGATGATGAGACACAGCTTCCAGGGGGGTCTTGTGAAACAAGTGTAAAGGAGAACAAGGTTGATGGTGAACCACACAAGAGTGAAGCAACATTAAACGGAGATGGATGTGTCAACGAAGTTGAATTTGAAGTGGAAAACTCTATCCAGTCAACCGCTCTTCGGTTTGAGGTAGACCACTAGTTTTTTCTTAAGTTGGTTGATGCCGTTGTTGCATCCCTTTTTTTCTTTTTATAAAATTGATTCCTTTTCAAGAAACGATACTGAACATATTGGTCAGTGACATAGTAAAAACAATGAAATCTAGTTAACAGAAATGGTATATATCTGGAAGGTGGAATTATCTGAAAGTGATAATGAGATTCTTAGAGAGGTTGGTCGAAGAAGCAACTCATAATACTATACATGGAAGAAAATTCTGATTGTTTCTAGGTTCAACCATCACTGTTTTACAAGTGAAAATATTAAGTTTAATTGTTTAGGTTTCAAGAACTTGGAAGGTTTCCAACTTTTGATATAAACTGTTGGCAAAGTGTATAACTGGGGTTATTTATCAGACCAGCTGGTTTTGGTTATCGAGAAGTACATATTTACAAACTAGGTAAACGCCCATGGACAATGCAAATTTTACCGACAATTTTCTTGTGTAATCCAGTGATCGACTCCATCTCCTAAGATCCTCATGTTGTAGGGCAATTTGTTTAAATCCTTAAATTTTGGATATGGAATATAGTTATCTCGGTTGATGAATTTTTGAGAAAGATTCCAGTTCCGTAATTATGCTAATTGTTGATTGAGATGATCATACTTCTAGTCATAATTGTTTGAATCATCAAAGTTTGTGGACAGAAATTTAATGTCCTATAATGGAGGGTACTTGAGTCCAGTTAACCTATATGCTCCTTAGCCTTACGGTATGTGTACCTATTTGTGGTTCCAGTTTGTGGATTGATTTGCAAATATCCAACTTCAGTTTGATACGAAGTGAACATATAGTATTTACTTTCATTGCCATCCTTAACCACAATGTATTGTCCTCCAGATGTTGGTGGTAACAGTTAAAGGAAATCACTTTTTTAATACATTCACTTTCATACCTTAAGCGTAAAGGTCGTATTTGTCCAACATCGCCACTTTGCTGGACCCATATAATGTATTTATGTGGAATAAACACCCTCTCTCTCCTTGAGCTATCTTTTGGAGATGAGTTCTGCCCAATATTGTATTTATTAGTAAGGATTTCTTCCTAAAGTTCTTTTTGTACTCAGGTGAGCCAGCATACTGGAAGGATTCACTTGTATTCTTGCACCCCAGGAACAAATTCAAGACCACAACCACTTTTTAAGAATTTTAGGCAAGAGGAAGTCGAGTGCCATCAACTTGGAGAGGAAAAAGAGAAAACGCATAACAAATCAACAGACGATAGTTCAGTATATATCGGAGCTCTAATGTCTTTCATCAATGAATGGAAAGAGCTCCGCCCTATTGAAAAGAGGAAACTGATCAACAAACCTTTGCAACTTCCACTTTCTTATGAGCTATGCTATTTGAATGAAAGTCTTAACCATGATAATGGGGTATGTATATTACAGAGTATTCTTGTATGCGAGTTTTATTGAAATCAATTTATTTTAAGTATGTCGGACCCTTCTAGATGTTTGTTAACACGATTCTATTTCTAATTTTCCCAGGGATTGCTAAAGGGTGGAAGTAAAAGACGTAAGACACCTTTGGCTGAGATTAGCCATCCATTACCATCAAATGCTGTTTGGAAAAAAATAAATCTCGTTGGTAGTCGTTCTCAAAAAGAGAAACTTTACACCCAAGGTTGGTCCGACATGGATGAACCTCTCTGCAAGCTCTGTCAGACTCCTTGCAAGTAAGTCTGATTAACTCATCCATTTTTTTTTCTGGTGAAACATTGCACAGGTTACCAATTAAATCTCTCTTATTGCAGGGGAAACAATGCAAAGGTACCTCAGTTCTTTGAGGACCTTTTCTGTAGTATGGATTGCTTTGGAGAATATCGCTCACGAACTAGTAATAGATTTCTTCGCGAGGTTTGAACTTGGTGCACTTACTACTTCTTAGATGATATAAATATTATCACCCGAGACATTTCTGAATTATAGTTCGCTGAAATTAACTTTAAGGACCTTGCAGGAGCTCTTCCAAATTGAACATGGCATTTGCACAAATTGCCAATTAAACTGTCATCAACTTGTGAAGCACTTACGAGTTCTATCACTTGAGAAACGGCAGGCGTATATCAATAAAGTGGCTCCAAATATAGCAAAACGTGAAAAACTGTAAGTTCACCCGTCTTTCTGGGACATTTAGATTTTTTAGTAAAAAAATTGAAGCTTTGAAGAAAAGCTTGCCTACTTGAAAACCCTTCAATTTGGTTTAAATCAGATTTTGATATTCTGCCAATTGCTGAAATTGAAAAAAATGCTTGGTTCGGCCAAACATAAAACCTATCCCATGAAGGAAATGTTGGACCTGAGACCCTCCCTCCCCATCTCAAATCCACCCGTCACCACCTACTAAACCTAAAACTTGAATGTCAAATGGATTGGATCCACAAACTTGCTTCATATTGCTATTTGACAAAGTCCATATTTTATGCGGATGTGCAACTGGTAATTCTACATTTGTGGTAAATCAACAGGTTGGTGTTGGCAAAATCATACTAAATATTTTGCCTTTTGGTTATTATGGAAATAACAAATGTTGAAAATCTTAAAAATTTATAATTATAATAAGATTTTATGTATTTTGTACGTTGTAGCGAGCAAACGACAAATTATTGTATAAAATTAATATTTGATGAATGAGATTGAGCTCATTATTGTATAGAGATGGAAAATAGCCACAACAAGCCGGAGGAGATTCACTAAAATTTTCAGTATTGGCTAAGATATTTCGTTTATTGATCATTATTAGTATTGCAGAACCAGTGTTCGAAAAAAATGTAAGTACTCAGGAATGCATAGGTTAAGAATGTGACAGATGTTGAAGACTGAAATTGGAGAAGTTGATACTAAAACACAGTGAGATACATGGGAAACGAAAAGAAACTAATGGTTTTTGGTATTTAAAAGTCCTTTGAATAATTTTTATGAGATGTAGGGCATTAGCATTTTTTTTTATGATGCCCACATGAAATTGATGCCAGTTTATTATTTGTTGATATTTACATCCAAGGTGCTTGTAAATATTGATATTTACACCCAAGGTGCATCATTTAACTGAATTGGAAGATTGTATATCCAAAATAGTGACATGGAAACTATGGTTAAGTACTAGATGGTTTAATGTGGAACAAGTTTCCTTTGTAAGACTCGATCATCCATCATCGTCTATTTCCTTACGGGCTTGAGAATGGTTCTAGTGAGGACTGAGATAAAACTGCAATAATCACTTTGAAAGTTCCTTTCATCAATTATTTTTCAATCTTTCAGTATCTATTACGATGTAGTAATGTTTGTTTGGCATATCGCAGACTGGAAAAGCTTGTTAATGAACCGACGGGAGGCAATGCTTGGCATGCAGACCACATCATAGCTGTGTATAAAGGGGGAGGTATGTGAAAATCATCTTGGATAATGTTGGAGTAGCTCCGTGCATTATTCTCATGTTGGAGTTGTACAGGTGAATGCAAGCTAGAAAACCTGAGGACCCTCTGTGTTGCTTGTCATGCTGATGTCACCACCGCACAATGTTCGGAGCGGCGTATTGCTCGGAAGAAGGCTAAGAAACAACTCAAAGATGCTATGAGTAAGCTTGCAAATATCAACAAGTCCAAAAAAATTGGTAATGTGCTCCAGGTACTGAACTATTCTCTTCATTAGTAGAATATACGTGTCTATTCGGAGTTAGAAAAATATGTATGTAATCCTATATTTGGTTAATTTAAGCAAACATTTGTTTTTGTTCCACACTTTTGGAGGAACCTGTTTTTGTAATGGAAAATAGAATAAATGTAATGAGTGTTGTCTGATCTTGATAAACTCATTGGAATTTCAGGTTCGTGATTTAGAGGTGCAAAGCAACGAAATGGATCACGATCTACTAATCGAGATTCCTGGGAGTGCATATTCGGTACCAAATGTTGATACAACCAACATGCAAAATCTTGAGCAGAAAATTATTGCCAAGTCTTCATCTGAATATGATAGCTGCTCTGGTGATGGTGAAACTCCAACGGTCGTTCACAATCAAAAACCGGAAAATCCGTCTGATAATCCTGTAGATGCTGGCGTTATAAGGTGACTGAAAAATGAATTTTTTTGTATTCTATCAGTGAGAATTTTTTTTCTGCACAGCCTGCGTATCTTGTAATCTTTGTATCCGAGAAAAGAAACTGATATTTATATATACGACTTGGTATGTTAGTATCCTAGTCGTTGTGCAACGGACAAACGCTGGAGTTGTGGTAAAACAAAACACTTTTTCTAGTTTTATTATACAAATGTTGTAGCATTTTTGGAAGTATTGAGTTGAATTCATGTTCGGTTCAGGTTCCCAACTGCCGGTTCTGGTTCCGAATTTGGAGGAACCAGAACCGAACCGAATATTTCCGGTTCTTTACGGTTCGGTTCCAAACGGTTCCGGTTAGAACTGGTAGAATATATATATATATATATATATATATATATATATATATATATATATATATATATATATATATATATATATATATATATATATATATATATATATATATATATATATATATATATATATATATATATATATATATATATATATATATATATATATATATATATATATATATATATATATATATATATATATATATATATATATAATATTAAAAAAATACTTAAAAAATAGTTAATTTTTTCTTATAAAAAAAGTGGAAAGAATACTTCAATGACTTAAAAAAAATATGTTTTTTACTTTTAAAAAGTTTGAAGGAATTAGTTTTAGTTTTAAAAAATAAAAATTAAAAAAGGAAAAGGAAAAGAAAAAGGAAAAGAAAAGAAATTGAAAGGGCTTGCATTTAATTTTTAAATTTTAAAGTTTAAAATTAAACTTTAAATAATTTATTTTTTAATATATATGTAACTTAAAACATGGTAAATTACAAACACCACCCTGAGGTATGGTCAATTTACAAAAAAACCCCTCTTGTTTGGATAACTACATGTAACCCTTCAACTATGTTTTTTTTCTTCAACCTCCACCCTTATGGTGTCAAATTCAACACAATCATCTAGATTTCGTGGAATGTGCTCTAGTTTGTACTCGTTTTGTGTAAAAATACAGTTTCTGGTGCAGCACAATCTGATATATACAATTCAAAAAACACATATTATGATCATCTTGATTCAAAATGTAGAGTTCGAATGGGATAAAACGGGTACAAAAGTGGTGTTTGTAATTATCCAAACAAGAGGGGGGTTTTCGTAATTTGACCATATCTCAGAGGTGTTTGTAATTTACCCTTTATAAAAATACTTAAAAAATAGTTAATTAAAAAAGAAAAGAAAAACAGAGTGAAAAGAGTACTTCAAAGACTTTAAAAAAAATTAAAGTTTTTTTGAATACTTAAAACATATTTTGTTTACTTTTAAAACAAATTGAAGGAATTAGTTTTAGTTTTAAAAATTAAAAAAAGAAAATGAAAGAAATTGAAAGGGCTTGCATTTAATTTTTAAATTTGAAAGTTAAATTTTAAATAATTTAATTTAATTTTTTAATTTTTTTAAAACCGGTTCAAACGGTTAGAACCGTGGTTCTAACTGTCGGTTCTTGGTTCTGAAAATGGGGAACCGGAACCGAACCGGTTTTTTTGGTTCCGGTTCCGGTTCTGGTCAAACCGGTTCCGGTTCGGTTCTAAAAATGTTGACCCCAGTTCGGTTCCAGTTCCGATTCTAACGGAACCGGTGGTCATCCTCAACCCTAGCAGACATTCTTTTGTTTCTTCAGAATTTAAATGCCTAAATCCAAATTCTCAAATTCCATTTTTTTCCTCTCGATCATGTATGCTCGTACAGCACGTATCAGAAGTATCAAGATTAACGTATTGCTCAGTGTTGCCGTACAAACTTATGAGTAAAATACCCCCCTCATCAATGAATTTAAAGATAAAACTTTAACTTTGAATGACATGGCATTCTCTTTCCAAAATGTCCTTCTAGCTATTATATAGTTAATGAATATGTAATAATAAAAAATTTCGACAACCTTTCTAAACTTAATTTTATTATTTCAGTATTGTAAATTTATGAAAGAAAAAAATTGAATTTTAGTTTCATTTTTTGTTTTAATTTATGTTCATCTATATGTATAGTTAATAAAAAGTGCAATAATTATTCGAATTTTAATTATGACTTTATAGTTTATCTAGTTATTTTAATTAGTATATGACTCTAATAATAATAATAATCCTACTCGTTACTTACGAGAATCACAAAATGTATTCAAAATTTAATAAGAAATTACAATTTGAACGTCTAAATATTTAAATATTTTTCATTGTGAAATTTAAATTTAAGTAGCTTAATAAATTTTCAAATCAATAATTATTTTACAAAAAGTTGGACATTTGAGTAGTGAAAATAATTTTTTTTCTTGCAAATATTTGAGGTATTTTATAGTTTTTTTGAAAAATAATTCAAATTTTTATTTATATTAGGGTCATATAGTAATTAAAATGTGGAGTTAAACATAAATCAAAGTAATATTTTGAATAATTATTGTATTTTATAAAATGTATTTTTTGAAAGATTGTTGAAAATATATTATTATATATACATCTTTATATAATAAGGGTACTTTTGGTAGAAAGAATGTCACATATTCAAAGTTAAAGTTTTACCATTAAATTCATAAATACATTTGTAATTTTAAGGGGTAAGTGTTAACAACCTTATAGTTTAAAGGTGCAAACTGTATTTACCCGTAGAAAATATTAAGAAAACCTCGTTTTCAATTATTTTCTACCTGAAATGAGTGTTGCATTTTTGGGGAATACCACTTGAAATGACAAAAAAATAAAACATTTGTTGAGACATTTCAGGTACACCTACCCGAAATGTTGATGCAATTTCGGGTGGATCTAACCCGAAGTGTGCCAATGCTAATTAATACTAATTAAAGGGCAACAATGAACACAAAAGTAGTAGCCAAAGAGTCATACAAAAAAGACCAAGAGTCTAATCTATGTATAATTATTGTAGAAACACACAAATTCACCTCATGTTGAACCCTATAACGTGTATAGATTTAGGCCTTTTCATTTTTGGCAACATATGTTAATTTATTAGTTTTATTCAAACACAATAATTGATGAAGAACTCAAATTTGTTGACAAAATGTTGATTTACTTCTATATTTCCCTTCGGCGAACTCTTGTATTTATTTCATTTTTAATATCTTCAGAGATGGCGTGAAACTACACACATATTTTGTGTGTGATATGTAGGGATGGGCATTCGGGTCGGGTTATTCGGGTTATGATCCGACTCGGTCGGATTTTACTCGATCGGAGCAGGTAATTTTTAAGTTGTTTTGGACGGTTCGGGTATCCGGTGTTCTTTAACTGGGTCAGGTCGAGGTTTTAGAATTTTAGCTCATTTTCATCCAAGCCCAAGCCAATTTCTAGCTCATCTAATGTTTTATCATCTATATATTTTTTTTATTATGTATTATTGAGTTCCATCTAATCTATTTCATTTCGAGCTTCCAATTCTTGTTTTATATTGCAACAATTTATTTAGTCGTTCAAGTTTTTTATATTGGCACCTAATTTTTTATTATTTTTTATAATAAATAAATGACTTTGTAATAGGTAATAGTTCGGATATCTAACATTATTATTGAATATTGGTGCCAAAAAAAACCAAGAAAAAAAAAGAAAAAAAAAGAAAGAAAAAGAAACCCGGTCCCGACCCGAATCCGACCCTAAATAACTAGGTAATCGGTTGCCAGGTACCTGGTTATTTCGAGTCGGGTTCGAATAATGATTTCTATGTCAAAAATCCGAATAACCCGACCCGAATAACCTGACTTGACCCGAATGCCCACCCCTAGTGATATGCATGGGATCATATGTTGGGACATTATGTTTTATCAAATAATTTTTTTTTTTTGTTTTGTTGTAAATCATTCTAATAGTATTGCTCTTTTTTTTTTTGAACAAGCAAAACACCGTTTATATTATTATTTCAAAAGGAGGGAGATATTACATGGATTCAAAATTTGGCGTTCATACAGGATATGCAAATCCTTTAACAAAGGTTCTTTCAAAAAGTAAGGAGTAGTATCAAAATTAAGGATGCATCCTGAGCTAAGTGATGCTCCTTTTTTTGCAAGTATGTCCGCCACACAGTTAGTCTCCCTATAGCAAAAAACAAGTTGCACGTTTTGGAAGTCTTGTAGCATCTTTTCACTGTCCTCCAGGAGGGTTTGCAGTCTGTTGTGGGATGTTTTCCTCCTATTAAAACAAGAAATCAGAAAACTTGAGTCAGTTTCAATAATCAATTTTGAGATTTCCATGTCTTTAGCAATTGTGAGAGCCTTATGAAAAGCCCAGACTTCCGCTTTGTTATTACTGGTAGTACCAATATTTTCGGCAAAAGCCGCGATGAGGTTACCTGTATTGTTACGTATGATACCTCCAATACCTGATTTTCCAGGGTTTGAAAGTGAAGAGCCATCAATATTGATTTTAAACCAATTTGGTGGTGGGGGGGGGGGGGGTCCATTTGATTTTAATAAGATTCCTTGTTTGTGTTTTGCATGACTCCATGGTGAAAAGCTGTTTGGCATGATCCCATATTTGAGTAGTGTTTATGTTGATATTTTTAAAGAGAAATTCATTTCGAGCCTTCCAAATTAACCAAAAAAGAACAAGCATTTTTTGGGCAAAATTGTTATTCTTTTTATGGATGGATATGCAGAAATGGCAGTTGACTCTAATTTGGAGAGATGGAAGATTTCTAAGAAGCGGCTTGATATACTCACATTTATAAAAAAGGTGGTAAGTAGTTTCGGGGTGTTTTAAACACAAGGGGCATATGTTTGATTCAATGATTTTCCGTCTGTAAAGGAAGTCAGAGGTTGGTATAATATTATGCGCCAATTGCCAAAAGAAAAATTTAATTCTGTGACTAACTTTTATTTTCCAAAGCTTATTCCATGGTAAAAAAGGGTCGTGGCCAATATGGGTAGAGTATAGAATCCAAAGATAAGTGCTTTTAATAGTAAATTTACCATTTTTAGATAGTGCCCTCTGCAGTGTATCTTTTTTGTTATACCTAGGGATATAGATAGCTTTAATTTTATCAATGATTGGATCAGGTATTAGATGTTCAATGGATTGGAGGTTCCATTTTTTCGTAGATGTATTGATTAGACTAGAAACTCTAAGGTTATACATATCAGGGGGAATCTCTTTGACGTAGTCTGCAATCCTAATGTTATCAATCCATTTATCGAACCACAAATTAATTTTTTTA